GATTGCAGATAGAGAGGGGAAGGGGAGTGGGAAGGGTGCAGGCCATTACATTTTATGGGCTCAGTTACAGATTGAAATTGCACGGTGCTTGTTGGCTATTGCCTTGCAGAGCTTTCCAAAAAGGAAGCCTGTCACACATTTCTTCAGGAGGGGAATGCAGAAGGGAGTAAGTGCTGTGCCAGTCTTTCAGAGAAACTGAGGCAGCACTGCTATACATGACTTCCACAGGTAACAGTGCTATGAGTTTTCAACTAAAGGTAAAATACTTGTATTTTCAACCACTTTCCTCATAGACTTTGTTCCCTAATGTGGCAAACAGGTAACGTGAGCATTAAAAACATGTCATTGATGATACTGTTCAAACCTGGAGGTCACGCCTGGCTGTCGCCAGCCATGCCCACAGTCGCAGCCATGCCACCACCATGGCAGTGGCCTCTGAAACCACTCGAGAGTTGTGCTGCCGGATCCTGGCTCGCCTTGAAACAAAATGAACTTTCTAGCCCTTCTGGTAGTGAAGATAACCTTGAAAATGTGAAGAGAGTGTAATCTGATGCCTCAGTAAGACTGCAAGGAGCTTGAAACAAAGACAGAGAGATGTGAACTGCCCCAGCCATCTCTCTCTGGGCCCCATGGACTCAGCATTTCTGTGGTCGTGGAGTCTGGCATTTTTCCAAGATTCCACAGAATCTCGCATGTTTGCTGCAAAATTCATTATTTTGCTGCAGCCAGGTGCGGGATGTTTTTTGGTTTGGATTTTTACTTTCCCCCCTCCCCCCTTCTTGCTGAAACCAACTACTCGCTCTGCGTCTTTCCATTAGCAGAGGTATGAGGTGAATTTTTGGTGCAAGTGCTGCTCTCTGGTACATGGCATGGGGTATGCAGGAGAGAAGTGTCCAGTGAGCAGCAGGGAGGAGAAAGAAGTTGGAAATATGCAGCCAGGCTGCCCAGAGCTGAGGTTTGGGGGCTGCAGGGGAAATCAGAGAAGATTAACTGCTAGAGTGGACCAAGAGTACCTCCTTTTTTGGCTCATTGGGTGCATGCTGTTTGGAACAAACTTGACTGCTGAGGGCCTCAGAGTCTTCACTCTGTTTTCCAGATGGGCAAACTCCATCGTCAAAAATCCTCACTGCTGAAAATACTTCTTGGTGTAAAATTTTGAAAAAAGAATTTTCAATTGTGAGCCTAGACAGGGTAGGAAGGAAAATTATTTTATGCCGTTTAAAAACCTAATATCACTACCACAGAGACACTTATGGAAGAAACACCTTCCAAAGTATTGGCAGAGGGTATAGTATTGCTTAAAACTGCCAATATTTACTTGTGAAATATTTCTTGTGCTGAGTTTTGCAAATAAATAAGAACTATGCAGTTTTTTAAAAAAAATCAGTAGGCAAATCAAATGAAATAAAATACCCACTGGCCTCTACAATGCCCCTTTTCTGAGTTTTTTAAAAGTCATTCATCAGGGTACCTCTAAACCACATGTATGTCTATATCAAGCACATCATGATGAATCTTCTGATTATCAGTGTTTTTCATGTTTCTAGGGCTTCTAGAGGGTTTCTGGGGCAATGGATCCATGCCAGTGCAATTTGGAACTGATAGATTTAGCCTACCACACATGTAAGCCATGACAATTTTACATCAATTTTTTGAAATCAATTGGTGTAAGATGTACTGTTATCCATGCTCAGTTTCCTTATAATCAGAATTTCTCTAACATCCAAAATTATATTTTCATCTCAAAAATAATTAAAACTAGAGGTATTTTTTTCTTCTCAGGTATGTATGAGCAGTAAGACTCATTACAAATGACTTTCAAGCAGAAAAGCCCCCTCAAGGTGGTGAAGAACAGGACTTATGAACTCAAATGGAAATTGGAGCACCAGTAATCAAATCTGGCATGAGATGCAACCCTACACATAGCACTTTAAAGCGTAAGCATGTTGGGTATGTATCAGACTTTCAGATCTCAGTGGCAAGCCAAATAATACTACTTTATAGGTGGCTGCTCCAAAGTTGACCAAGAAGTACATCCAGCAAAAGTTCAGTGAGGTGAGCAGCACAGCATTTGGAGTGTCTTTAAGAAGAAACAGACCCAGTCACTGAGGCAGCCCAGTTGTATGAATTTGTAACATCTTGGTTATCATTGAGATGCCTGCTTCACTGACAAATTGAAATCAAAAACTCATTATTAATAGAGTAATAAAAATAAAAAAGGCCTGACCATTTTGGCTTGATAAAACAGGAGTGAACCATCTTTAATAGGTTCTTATAACACTAAAAACACACCTGAAAGTCTTTCTTGGACTTGGAAAGAAGCAGAACATCAGTGAAATTCTCAGGCAGGATACAACACTGATATCATCTGTCTAGCCAGCTTCAGATTTGTGTTCTGCTTCTTTCTCAGGCATCTAGTAAAAGAAAGGCAGGGACAGATGTAGTGTTCAACTTTGCAAGTGCATGTTTCAAAGTCAGTTCCTACACAATGCAAACCAAGCACAACAGTACCATTAAAACAATTTCTCCAGATGATGAAAGTGTTTCCTAGAGACTAAAATCCCCTCTTAGCTCTACAAGTGTAACAGAGGGCAGAATTGAGTTTACTGGGCTTATTATGGTATCCTCTGTACGTGTCAACACTGACAGGCTGCATTCCTGTGCACAGCATCATCCTCTTCCTCAACAGAGAAATCTTGGCCAAAGACAGTGGTGAGGCACTTACTCATCTACTCTCTCATACTGTTGTCTGAAAATTTTTTTTCATTTTCCTTTCCTTTCTCTTTCCAGTACTTTCTCCATTGTTCATCTAGCTCTGTCTTTCTAAAACATTATACACTTTCATTTCTCAGTTGTTTAATAAAGCTCCTCCCTCATCCACATATACCTGAATTTGCTTCCACTCCATAATTTGCATAAGCCACTTTCAAGATTAAATTTCCTTTCAACTGGTGTTTGTAGGGACATTTTCCTCTTTTCCTATGGACTAGCACCAGGTTTTAGAAGTCACTATATGTGTTTGGGATCTTAAATCCCAAACAGGTTTTGGGTTCTGGGTTTTAATGACAGAGTGCTGATCTCTCCTACACCCTCTCTTTCTTTCTTGTATGCACACAGAGAGAACAAAATAAACAAAAACAGTGTTCATACCATCATCTTCATTTTCACTGGCACTATTTTGTCTTCTGACTACTGCTTTTAGGAAATCTCCCTGTTGGTCAACTGGCTGTTGCAAATGCAGCAGCCTCTCCAGTTATGAATGAGTTCAAATGAGACCTAATTAAAGGATTTGATTTCAGGGTTTAATATCCAATTTTAAACCTGTCCAATGACACTGCAGTCAGAAGAATCACACCCTGCCCTTTTCCATGTACCTTTGAGCACTTCAGTCCTCATTGTTTACAGAAGCCTGAGTTCTTGTAGATGCAGCAAGTCTATTCAGCAGTTACTGGTTTAGATTTTGATACTCCTGATAGCATCCATGACTACCACACACTTGGGTAATATGAAGGGAAACTCTGAGCAGATGAAGTGTTTTACAGGCTCTCTGGACTAAGTGGTGAAAAGATGGAATGGAATGAATAACCCCAACAGGAGAGCTGGTAGTGCCAAACCATGAACAAATATTTCCCTTAATACCCCTGTTATGTTAAGTGACAGTTACATTTGTCATTACACACAGCTCCAGCATACAATTACCCGGCCCAAACCCTCCACAGCACATGAAGCCCCAGCTACGCTGGGCAAACACAGTGGAAGTATTGCAGTGGAAGTCGCAAAAAATCCTGACAGCATCAAGGAAAGGCTTTTCATGCACAGAAGAAAGCCTGATCCCAAATAAAACATGGAGTTTGGGTGGTGCTGAAAGCTCTGGCACTGCAACTGCAAACAGGACCATCTCTGTTTAGCACTAGTCAGTAACCATGGCCAACCCTTTCTCTAGAAGTTAACTGGTCCTGTCCACACATTGCTGTAGCAGGGATGGATAAATAGCCAAATGTACACATAGAGACAAGTCTGTGGAACAAATGCATATTGGAAACTAACCAAAGACATATTGCTACAGACAGTAAAAATGACACTACACATCAAGTATTACAAAAACATGGAACACAATAGGCTTATTATTAGGTGCTTGTATTTTTCTATTCTGTTGCTACATGAAAAGCTAACACAAGCATCAGGGAAACTGAATATAGAATCATAGAATACAAGGGGAACAGTGAGAGATAATGCAGAGTACTGTCAAATGTAAAAAGTAAACAGACCAGAAAAAATGCAGGCAATAAATCTAATCAAATTTACTAAATAGTACTTTTTGTACGTATTTTACAAGTGGTAAAAATAAGGCAATTTCAAGATGCACTTTTTCTGTTAAACAATCCAGAATAAAAACATTTATGTAGCATTTTGATGTTCACTGAGTGCCAAGAACGATATCACAAACTAAACTAACAAATCCAAACCACACACAATCATTTGACCATGCATGAAACATTATTGTGTGTGATAGTTTGCAAAATTTCTTCCTATTATGACTTTATAAACAGGCATTTTCAAGAAACAATGCTGTTATACTTTTTTTGCCACTGTTCTTAAGACTTTGCAGCTAAGAGTTGCACTGGCTTCGCCCAGAAGCAGTATTTGCATATATTCACACAGATAAAGAGAAATAACTTCAAATAATGGGATGAAAACTCTCTAACAGATCAAAATGTTAACAACATAAATGCAGCAAGCCAAATATTTCTCTGAGAGAGTAACAACCATCATTTTGTAACATGAATCACTGAAGACAAATACTTTTAAAGCTATAACTAATTTTCTGTAGCTTTAGCATAAGTCTCCATCTCTCAATTAATTCACCATTCACTGCTTCTTCCAATCACTAAAAGCATGTAGCTCTCTTAAGACTTTCATCCACTTGGTTGCCACAAAAATAATTACCACTTTAAAAGCTGTAACTTTTTTTTCTCAGGACTGACAAGTTGTTTACTTACAGACTTCCCATTTATTCCCTCAGGGTCTTCCATTGAAGATTTCTCCTTCCAAATTATATATGGGCTATTAGTTACAGTGAGGTTCAGACAGTCCTAGTACACACACACCTGTGGAAAAGACAGTACCACATCGTCGGATTAATTTGTTGGCACGAAACTAGGAGGAGATCTTCACTTCTGCAACTTTCCATTAACTAACAAGTATTCACAAGTTGGGAGCAGTTGTCTTTGAAGAACTGAATCAATCTTGAAAACAAATACATAGCTGATCTGTTTACCACAAATCCACGCACGCCAAAAGCAGGCAGCGAGAGCCCTGTTGTGCTCGCTGTCGGCAGACAAATAAAAGGCAGCCAGGAACTCTTTTGCCGACACTATTTCTGTGCCAACAACACATCTCTTCTTCTTTTGATTTTTTTTTCTTCTAGGAAGCTCAGCCTCCCCTGATATCTATCAATGTCAATTGTACTTTAATGCTAAGAGGAAATAATAACAAAGAAATATGATTGTAGATTGAGCCAGGATAAAAAAGAAAATCCACAAAGTTTTCTAAACGTTGCCCTCAAGCTAAGGATATTTTTATACTAAATCTCTTCAAGTTTACATTAGGTCACAGTTCTAGGCCCTATAAATTATAAATATGGGATGCTTTGTGTTCTATCACCTTTGGAAATAGTGTTCTTTGATGTTAAAAATAACAGGGAAGTACTGAGATGAAATAATGAAGGCTTACTCCCCAAACAGAGATAAATCCAAAATATGGTTTCTTTCCATGGGCAATTTTCTTTAGAATAAAATGCTGTGAACATCTTAAAATTCAGAACTATTCACTGGAGTAATTAAAACAACCGAGCTAAGATCCTCATTAGAAAAACTGGTGCTTTTTTAATGACATGCGGCAAATGATGTCTGCTAAAGAATAATAAAAATGAAAATTTGGGGAGTTTAAGTGTGTGTATGTGTATATAGCATATACCTTATATACAGTGAAATATGAATAGTACTTTGTTTTTCAGGTGTTTTCATAGGTGAAGATCTGATGGTCTGAAGATATTCAATTTGTCCTAAAACCACTCTGCATATGAAATACATATAATTTAGGGTCAGGATCCAAAACCTTATTCTGCATATTTCTACCTGAATAAGACTCTCACAAGAAAATAAAAAATCCCTTCAAGACCAGTTGTTTTGACACTATTTATTGCACACATTTGGCTACTTCTATAAAATCTAAGCATTAAGAAAGTGTTAACAGGTTCACTCCACACCCTAAGGAAGATGCTAATATGAACCATGCTTCTGCAATGCATCCACTCCCTTCTTTCTGGTTTACAATTGAGAGATCAAATCCAGTCCTGCTCCTGCTGAGAACAATGGTCAATCTGCAATATTTCTACAAAATCTGGTCCTCGTATTTGTTCTGACACCAGATTATAGGTTAGAAAATTACTCAAGGCTTTAAAAACTGACAATTAAAATTAGGGAGGGGAAGGACAAGAAGTTCTCCTAGTTTAAAAAAAAAAATAATAGCAAAGAGAGGAAGAAGAAAACAACTCTCTAACAATGCCCTGCTCCTAGGCAATGACTGACATCTGTTTCAAAAACTCTTTTATTGCAAAATTCAATAAATGGAAAAACCGCACAAACTGAAAGTCTGCAACTTCAGTGAGGGAATAAAATGGAGCCTTTTCTAATGGAAAAATATTCATAAGTCAATTGATTTAATGCTGGTATGTGGATGACCTGACAGATTTTCAGATCAGCAGTGCTCTCTTTACTAATGGAAAGAAAACTTTACCAAGACTGGTAATTTTCTATTAAAGCCCAGATGGAAAAAGCATAGATGTTTTACAGTACATTGTAGTTCAACCGTAATTAGGCAACCCTACTTGCAAAAGCTGCTACAGCAAACATTTCTGTCTCTGAGAAAGATTCCTACAACAAACCAGCATCAAAAGAGCCCACTCTTGCATTTTCTGCTCTGAAATATGCTGCCCTGAAAGTCACTGCAAAATAGATTTACAAAAAGCTCCTATATACTCCTGAAACCCCCATACTCCTTAAGGCAAAGGCTTTTCTTTCTCAGCAGACACCAGAGACCTCTGGCAGCATAATCAACCCAGCAGTAACATGAGGGCTTAGACAGTAATACAGAACAGCTGATTTACAATGTAATTAAGTAATTTTAATTTTGAAAAATTCAACTTTCGAACAGGAGCAACTTAAGTTATCCTTATTTAATTGTCATCTTAGGTTATTTTTAACTCTTAGTAAAACTTTAAAAAAACTAATTAAATTCCCTTGAGTTGCTATTGTATCAAAAATTTCATCTAAATTACGCAAAGTATCTATTACAGAGAAGTTGTTATATTCAAAATATGCCACTGAATATAAGTGGGATAAAAACTCAAATCATTGAAAAAGACAAGATCCAAATTGAAGGGAAGTCATGAAAGTACATATCCCGTTTTATTTTTCTCTATTACTCTGGAAGTCATTTGCTTGGTTAAATATTATTACTATTAAATACGCGACGGTAGCAGCTAAGAGTCCCACCAGCTAAAACACTATTGTACCAGGCGTGATAACCAGCAGCCCTCTTTTCCAAACAGCTATTACCATTTTAAAGGGAATAAAAACCCACAAAGAAGTACAGAAAGTGGTTTTACGGGGCGATTTTTATTCCCCTCTTTCTGAAACGTTAGCCAAGTCTGTGCAATTTTCCCCACACACATGGATCTGGATGTGTGCCCCTGACACCAGGCACAGGGAGGCTGCCAGGCACTCCCAGCCGTGCTGTGGAGGTGGCCAGCAGCTTCAATAAGCTCCTTGTCCTGGAAGGGCTGTCCCCATCCCAGCACCCGCCTAGAAACCTGACAACTGATGACCCGAGAGGAAGATCTCAAACACAGTCAGGAATACTGAGAAATAACCTCTTAGGGCTGGAAGGTACCAATGGAGGGTGATGTCTTGCACAGAGAGCACCAAACATGAGGGCGTTTGATTGGAGGACCAGGAGCCTAGTTTCTTGTACTTGCTGAGCTGTTCTGCACAAAAACTTTGCGTTTCCCAAGCAAGCCCCACTCTGTCACTAATATCCACATCTTGGAGCTGTCCCAGGGCTACTGTAACCCACCTTCAGCTGCAGTGAGCCTCTGATGAAACTCACAGTGATCAGAAACAGCACTAACACAGTATCTTGGGCTACCTTACTCTTTCCATCACCAAGGAGAAGGAATTAAACTTTTTTCCTGTTCCTGGGCCACCAGTAAAATCACTTCTGTTTTACAACTTCCCAGCTGATTACACCATTGCAATCTCCAAGATAAGGTGTTTTTTCATGTCATCAGTGGATACTGCTTTGCTCTTATTTTCTTATGCTTTCTCAGAAACTACTAGAATTTGCTAGTAACACCTATAAAAAATTGTATCTCTCCAAAGCTTATTAATTTGTTAGAAGAAAAAAACCCAAAACCAAACATAAAAGCCACATGTACTGTATCATTTGGTAGAGAAAATACTAAAGAGGTTATGAGACTGGGTGAAATGGCCTTTATTTACCCTGTAGATGATAGCATGTGATATTTCACAGTTGATATTAGGGAACTTGATGGTTTTGATTTTATGTGCTATATTTGGGAAGTTTCCTTTTTAGCACTTTCTAAAGACTCACTACATTTGCTCCATTCCCAGGTAGGTCTCTCATCCCCCACCCCTGCTTCCTTTTAAGGTGTTAAATTTGGCAGATAACCTGGGTAGCATTTAGAAAACAATTATTTCCAAATGCTGGGAAAGAAACTTGCCAAGTGTAACAGCTAAAAAAAAAAAAAAAAAAAAAAAAAAAAAAAAAAAAAAAAAAAAAAAAAAAAAGAAATAAAATGGAAGAGGTGAAGGTATTTTTTAAAAATGAAATTTAGAAGGGACCTTT